AATGGCGCTTTAAATATCGCGTTGCGATTTACGGATACGCGTTGCGATTTTATGTATTATCGTTGCGATTTACGGATACGCGTTGCGATATACGGATACGCATTGCGATTTACCCATACGCGTTGCGATTTACGGATACACGTTGCGATTTACGGATACGCGTTGCGATTTATGTGTTCGCGTTGCGATTTTCATATTCGCGTTGCGATTTTTGAAAATCGCAATGCGAATTTGTACTATCGCATCGCGATTTTCAAGAATCGCGTTGCGATTTTGGAAACTGATTTGCGATTCTGGAAACTGATTTGCGATTCTGGGGATCGCGTTGCGATTTTTATTTCGCGTTGCGATTTTGTTGGTCATTTTGGCAAATCCAAAAAAAGTTGGTTAAAATCGTATATTATAACTTTTTTTTGGTCACTGAGGCGATTTTCTCTATTAATTATGATGTCCAAACCTCTCTCATCACAACAAATAATAATAATTAAAAGGAGAATTTCTTTGCCGACTTACCCTCAAACTTTAAAACGAATTAAAAATAAAAACCAAAATTTTACCTTGGTATTTAACCCTAATCTCCCTTGCTTAACCACGATCCACTTATTGTATTTAGGATTTTAGAAAAAGAAAAAGATAATCGCTTCCCAAATTCCTCTGTTATTTTTCTAACGATTTGTTTGTGAGAGGGAAATTGAACCAAGGCTTTTTACTTCTTCCGTTCGCCTCTTCAACCGATCCTTTTGTTTTCTGGGAAACTTTGTGTGTTTTTGGTTTTTGACAGTGACCTGTGACTTTTGCATACTCTTCTGCTGATCCCAAACTTGCTTTTTCATGTAAACTGGTGTGTATTTCTTCAATTATTATGTCTTTTTCGCTTTGATTTCCTTTTTTTTCTGGATTTCCCTCCTTACTTTGGAGCTAGTAGGATATGGAAAGAGTGGAAATGGTTGCTCTATGTTGTGCATGTAGAGATAACGTTATGGTGTTCCTAGTTTAGTTATAAATGTATTGATTTCTCTTCTTTAACGGGTGAGATTTTATCTGGGTACTCTGGAAACTTTCCATCTTTATTCAATTTTTTGGGCGGGGGTGTGCTGGACTGGGTTGTTTGGAGTGGTTTAGGAGATGAAAATTGAATTGGGTATGGGAGGTGGGGCTTTGAACGATGAAGATAAGGCCATGGTTGCCGCTGTTTTAGGAACTAGAGCATTAGACTACTTGATATCAAACTCGGTTTCAAATCAAAACCTTTTAATGACCATAACCAGTGATGAAAATCTCCAAAACAAGCTCTCAGATCTCGTGGACCGCCCCAACGCTTCTAACTTCAGCTGGAACTACGCCATTTTCTGGCAAATTTCGCGGTCCAAGACCGGCGATTGGGTCCTCGGATGGGGCGATGGGTGTTGTCGAGAGCCTAAAGAAGGAGAAGAACCCGAAACGGCTCGGATTCTTAGCCTTCGCCTCGAAGACGAGACTCGGCAGAATATGAGGAAAAGGGTTTTGCAGAAATTGCATACTTTGTTCGGTGGATCAGATGAGGATAATTATGCACTTGGATTGGACAGAGTTACTGATACTGAGATGTTCTTTTTAGCTTCCATGTATTTTTCTTTCCCTCGAGGAGAGGGAGGCCCTGGGAAGTGTTTTTTGTCCGGGAAACATGTATGGGTCTCGGATGCATTGAAGTCGGGTTTGGATTATTGTGTTCGGTCTTTTCTGACAAAGTCTGCCGGTGTTCAAACCATTGTTCTGGTACCTACAGATGTCGGTGTTGTCGAATTGGGGTCGGTTAGATCGGTGCCTGAAAGCTTACAGTTGTTGCAGTCCATAACAAGTTCGTTTTCGTCGAATTATCCGCTCGTTGGAACGGAGCAAATGGCTGTTGCAGCAGCAGTACCTGTGGTGGATGAGAAGAAACATGACGACTCTTCCCATTTTTTGAATTTGGGGATTGTGGAAGGTGTTCCAAAGATTTTTGGGCAGGACCTGAACAACATTTCACATGTTCATCCCCATCATCGGGAGAAACTCGCTGTTAGAAAGATGGAAAATAGACCAACATGGTCAGCTTATGCTAATGGTGGTAAGCTTCCATTTTCAAGGAATCAAAATGGTGTTCAAGGTTCAGGTTGGCTTCATGGTGTGATACAGGGTAGTTCTACCAACTTTAATGATTCTCAACACACGACAAATAATGTTCAGGAGCTTGTTAATGGAGCTAGGGACGAGTTTCGGCTTAATCAGTATCAGTCGCAAAACCCTGTTCAAATGCAAATTGATTTTTCAGGGGCTGCCTCAAGGCCTTCTTCTGCAACTACTCGGCCATTATGTGCTGAATCTGAGCACTCGGATGTTGAAGCTCCTTGCAAGGAAGAGAAACCGAGTGCGGCTGATGAAAGGACGCCCCGAAAAAGGGGTCGAAAGCCTGCTAACGGTAGAGAAGAACCTCTTAATCACGTTGAAGCCGAGAGGCAGCGACGTGAGAAACTGAACCAGCGTTTCTATGCTTTACGAGCTGTGGTGCCCAATATCTCCAAGATGGACAAAGCTTCGTTGTTAGGAGATGCAATAGCTTACATCAATGAGCTTCAAGCGAAACTTAGGGTCATGGAATCAGAAAGGGAGAAGTTCGGTAGTACTTCAAGAGATTCAGCTGGGTTAGATCCCAACTCAAACACAGAGAATCATATCGGAGCGACTAATATCGACGTTCAAGCGGTTCAAGATGAAGTTGTTGTAAGAGTAAGCTGTCCTTTAGATTCACACCCCGCATCAAGAGTAATCCAAGCATTCAAAGCAGCAGATATCAACATACTCGAGTCGAAACTCGTTGCAGCAGACGATACGGTGTTTCATACATTTGTTATCAAGTCTCAAGGATCGGAGCAGCTAACAAAGGAAAAGGTTATGGCGGCATTATCGCCCGAACCGAATTCGTTACAGCCATTATCATCATCTCTTGGATAGCACACAATTGCATTTTAACAATGTCCTCGGGCATAAAAATTAACGTGAAGAACCTGATTTGAAGCTTCTTCAGAGGTTTTTGGATTATACAGCAAGGGGAGCATGAAGGGCCTGGTAGGAGTAGAAATAACTACTTACTGACCAAGTAGGGCACCAAAGTTTATGTGATTTGCCCATATTATTATATACATACATTCTGTCATAATGAGTTGTTTTTGCAACATAAATTAAATTTCTGAGTTATTTTTTGTTCAATTTGCATGTTGTTCGGTCTTTTGTTTAGGTGGATACCTGTTTTCACCGTAGCATATATAGGCTGAATCACCTGTCAAACATGACAGGTGAAAACCGAGATCAAAAACTGTCGTAACTAGTAAAATAACATTGTGAACCAAAAGTATAAAAAAGGTAGAATAACAATCGGCGAATGAATCTTCTAATTATTAAAAATTATAAAATAATATAAAACAATATGCACTCTAAAGTATCGTTTTGTTGAGTTAATGAATTATTAATAGTTACTCGATTATCTATATATTTTAAATTCAATTTTCGATTAAAAATTAATGACAGTATGAACGATGTTGTGATAGTCGTTTGATGTTTTGAAATTAGATTTTATCATATCATAATCAACATGTTAACTTGTAGTTTAGATTACCATCAATATTTTGATATAAAATAAAAAGTTTAGAACATAATGGTGATCATTTTATAATTTTAATAGTCAATATTTCATAAAAAAATCTTATAATTAAAGGATCATTTTATAATTTTTATTAGTCGATGAATTCAATAACATAGGGTATATAATTAGAGATCGTGCATTTTATCCGATAATAATTAACCATTTGATTAAGCAATCAGGTCTTGTTCAATAACTGGGTGGATATGGGTTAAGTGGTCCTATTTAACCCGCGTTGTTCCAGTGTTTGTAGCCGATCAAACCACATTCATGCAGCAGTCAGCACGTTTTTTGTATTAGATTTTCTTTTCCCTTTCAAGTCTGGACAAATCGTTGGAAAAGCTTGACAAATCCACATATTCACATGTGTTTTTGCTGATAAAAACCCCCAAACCCCGAAAAGCCCGTGATAGGGAGACTATTTTTCAGTTTATTTTTGGTTAGTTTAATCGTTTTTATTAAATCACTTCATCTTCAACCTTCTCCCATCTGAAACGTGTGCTTGAAAATGCTGGCCATGTGCACCATTCTTTTTTATCTTTATTGAAAGATGTCGTCGTCTGAAGTTTGAACAATGGATAACTGCTGAAACATATGGCCCAATATGAGGGAGCCATTGCTTCAACCTTTAGATCTCTCTCTCTCTCTATTGCCTTAGATCCCATCTCTCACGTTGCCTTACTGTCCAAATGTTAGCCCTACTTTCATTCGCTTCTTATTCATGGAGTATTGTTTATTATTTTGAATTCGACATTCTCTGTAATTCTTTCATTTCACAAGGACAGAAATTTTCAAGCATTCCCCAAATTCACGAGATGTGTAATGTTACATATAGTCCCAGAATATATTAAATTATATCAATTTGATCCCTTTTTTTTAATATTAGTCACGACACTTGGTAACTTTTTTCAACTAGGTCCCTTGATTTAGATTTATAATCACTTTGATGATATCACTAATATTGTATCACATCACTATGCAACATATAGATATATATTCAAGGGATGGTGTGGTGTATTCTCAAAATGACATGTCATCGAGTGGACCAAAAATTCAAGTAAAAGAACATCAAATTTTAGAATTAATTTGGATTAAAAAAGTTCAACGACCAAATTTAAAATAGTTTGGACCATGCATCACTCTACAAAGAATAAGGATATGTTAAAAAATGTTAAAGAGTTCAATATCGATGCATCACTCTACAAAGAATAAGGATAAGATTAAATCACAGCCGTTCTTTTTTGTATGTCAACGTCTGCCATATTTGATTCATCATAATCATTATTATCTTTTAACATAATGTATATTAATGTGACATATTTATCAGGTCTAATCTTCTGTCAGCTAACATCAATCTGCAATGTGTTACCAAATTTAAACCATTTACAAAATGTTCCATCTGCATAGAATGGTTGACGCTTGTACATAATAAATAATACATATGAAAGAAAGCAACAGTGTGGAATCCAAACTTGGAAGCTAAAACGATACACCGTTAGTCAACTAATACAACTAAATAGGAGACCTCAGCTACCAAAACAGCATCCGTTTCAATTAACTACACATTACTACCAACCATGCTTACCTCTGCAACACCAGGCGTTGTTGAATTATCGCAATTTTGCTTACCATTCACATTTTATCCACCTTTTCTATCGCGGCAGAACCTGGAAATATGCCCGATCCTGCTACAGTAGCTACATATTAAGACCTTGCTATGCATTTCTGATTCTCGCTTCTTCCAAGGCACCCCTGGATCTTTTATCCTTGGGCCAAGATTGTTAGCTGGATGAAAGCTTGCAGACTTTGGATGCTCTGCTTGTTTGACTCTGTGACGGAATGACTCCTCAACTCTTATTTGTTCCATCAACATCCAGAAAGGAAGATGTTCTTCACACATCAGCTTAATGCGAAACTCCTTCCAGGATGGTGGAAGCTTGGAAATGATGGCGCTAACATGAAAATTCTCATCAACCATCATACCAGATGCAACAATAGAATCAGCTATGTTGTTGAGTTCTTGCATTTGCTCAACAATTGATTTTCCATCGACAATCTGAAACTCAAGGTAGTTTCTAACTTGAGCTCTCTTTGTTCCGAATTCCTCATAAAGATAAACCAATTTTAGCTCTTCCCACAGCTCTTTAGCGGTCTTAGCTTTCTTTGAGAATTGATAATACAGGTCATCAGATAAAGAGCTCAAAATGCAGTGGCGACAAAGGTAATCATCCTTCATCCACTTTTTTTCAGGAACTTTGGCTTGAGCCGGTTCTTCACTGGTCGCTTCAGGACTAAGATCAAGACCAGGGTATGGATCCTTAAGCACATAAGCAATCTGCAATTGCTTTAAGAAAAGTTCCATCTGTTCTGCCCAGCAATGGTAATTCTTTCCATCAAAGCGAGTGGTTTCAATAGGGGAAAATTCACGAGAAATAGCAGTAACTGGATTAGACATATCTCCATTCTGTTGACCATCGTGCTTTTTCCTACATATATTTATTTAAGGTCCAAAGTCAGTACATCATTATGCTAAAGGCTCTCAAGTTAAACAATCTTCGAGTAATATTTAAATTTGCAGGCAGAGCATAGACCCTGCAAATCTAGACATAAGCAACTCTACATTTATCCTTAGTTATTGACGTTACTGGAAACTTCTTGTATATAATTGGCAGCCTACAAACAATAAAGAAACTACAATATTGCTAACCTCAAAACTCAAAATGGATTCCCACCTTAAATTTGATTGCATCTTAGTGATAGCTTCATCAATTGCAAGAAAATTATTCTTTAAAGCTGTCCAGGTTTCAATTGACATGGTAACTCCTAGAGTAGGAAAAGCGGAAATGTATGTCGAGAGAGAAGCGTTAGGTACTGATACAGAATATAGCATGATAAAACAAACAGCTCCGGTGACAGAAAAAAGTAATAGAAAACCATTAGACATTAAGATGAGCAAGTCGGTCCAGAGACCAGATAACCAAAACACAAATTCAATCGATTAAATGATAAATAAGAGTCGCTATTTCTTATCCATTGTGATTCGGGATCCTCTATGAGAGAGGACAGAAAACAAACAATTTCTCTTATTTCCATGATGTTCATTTGTTAATTGAAAGGAAAAAAAAGATATTCGAAAAGGAAAATATAAGAATGAAGCAGAAGGGGAGCACACACACATATTATATATATAATTACCTGTTGCAGATGGGAGCTCTTTTCCATTTTTTACATAGAACTCTCTAACAGATACATAACTTTTTCCACTAAAATCATGAATAACCACATTCATCATGTCTGCAAGCTGAAATAAATAGATGTCTTAAATAAAAAGCAATGATTCAGTAGAAGAAAACAAAGTCACAACATGGATTCTTTAAAACTCTTCTTACCTATAATTGTATGTTTATCCAACAAAAAAAGTTTAATCTTATACAAAAAAAAAAAAACAACAAAATTTTAACGTATACAAAACAAGATAGCTGAAACATTTATTCATTTTCAGTTCCCAATCAAATTAAGCTGAATCGGATAGCTAAGGTAGCTTCTAAAGTATATATATATATATATATATATATTTGTTCATTATCATTTTGAGTTCCCAAACGACGAGACGAATCTCCAATTACTAGTGTATATATAAATTCCACTACTGTTGGCTAAAAATTTCAACAACTAATCAAAATAACTCGAACCTTGCAAATAAGGCGATTTCCGTCCCCATCGATTTCTTTCTTAACCGTAACAATTTCTTTACCCTTCTCACCGGGTTTACAATTCGGTTCCTTTCCATCCCCATTTTCTTCGACAGTAGAGAGAAGAAAAGACTCCACCAATTCTCTAATAAACTTTTTGTGACTCAAATCAGAAAGGTCGATTCCAAGTCGCTCGGAGGCAGTGACTCGGACTTTGAACTCGGTCATCTCTTCCATATCGGCTTTGCTCAATATATCCTTCACTGTTTCCTCCATTTTTTGCCGTGTTTGTCGTTCCATGTTGGGATGGGATGGGAAAAATTAAAGGAGAAATTATGCAAGAAAGAGGTAAATAGAGAAATAAAGGTGTTTCGATGCCTCCGGGGAAAATTATTCTGGGGTTTTCGTTTGGGGCATAGTGAGAAGAGTAGCAAATTAGGGATTTTGATGGAATTCCGCTTGCTCTCCCCCGCGCATATGCCGGGGAAAAGGAAAAGTTTCAACAATGTTTGAGATCCCTTACCGAGACTTCAACTCGGGTTACTGATTTCAAAGACCAATGTGATAACCAATAAGACCATCTTATTTTCCTTACAGATTTTATTCCATAATAAAACAAACAACAATTTCCAGTTCCCTGTAACATATAAAAATGGTTGATTATGGGCTAAGTGGAATCGGGTTCAGGCCTTGATTATATATATATAGTAGTGATACTACATACGCTTGTTTAAGCAAGATTTGCTTTGAAATATGGTATTTATATTTATAAATGGTAAATTTAAATTTAAATTCAAATAAAACATCAAAATTATTATTGTTGTGAGTGTAGTTTTGGTTGAGCAGTGCTATGGATTAGTAGTAATTAAGAAAAAAATATTGAAATAATAAAAGTAAATAAAATAACATTGAATTGTTTATGCAGTTTAGATATACGATTCTACCTTTATAAAAATTTATCTAAGAAGAAATTCATTAATCTTTTCTCTTTTAAGTAATCTCCTTAGATTATTTAACTCTCAATGATAACACAACGATCTACTTTTCTTCAATGTTATCAGTAGAAATCAGAAAATCCTCTACTTTTTTTTAATCTACTTCTATCGTTTATTGTTTGATGGAGCTTCTCAATTCCCCGATCTCTAAAACCCCACTGCTTTTTTCCAGCTTCTCATCTTTTACTCCCAGGATTTCCATCAAAAACTTCCAACAATAAGCCCCTGCATAGATTACACAAAGCACCGCCATTTCCTTTGAGTTTACCGCCATGCCGAACCAATGTTTTTCATGTTTCAGCTCATTTAGGTCGGAAAACGAGCCGCCGCAACTCACTGTGGAAAAACCTGATTGATCATCAAAAGGTGCGTCAGAATCCAAGTCCCGATTTTCAAAACCACACCATGTGATTGCTTTTGAAGATGTTGATGATTGCAAAAGCTTCGGTTACATCATGCAGGCTCCCTTGGATATGCTAGGAAATGGCAGAGCCTTTATTGTTCCACAGCCACCTAACGTAAAATTTTGGTTGGGTCTACAATGAAATGATCAAACATATTCAGTTTGTATATAAAAAAGGGACTTCAAATGTTAAAAGATTGCCTGAGAAAATCAATGTCATTCTATGTCCTGATCTGATAAACTGAAATTTGCCCTAAAATGCATCAAGAGGTGATGGAAATTCTATCATAGTTTTGCATTCTCTTTTGTTCCTCGAGGTTGGAATGATTTCTAATTCTTCTTAACTTAATTGTTAATCCGTTTTAGGACGCTTTTCAAGAAGCCAAAGCAAATGATTTCGGTGCAACTGTGATCGGGAAAGGGGAGCTGGGTTGAATGTGGATCAAACTTTGGAAGAGGTGGAAGAAGAAATATGCGAGATTGGGAGCAAGATGTACCACGATAAGATCATGTGTGAACGCTCTGTGGTTATAAGCTCTTTGATGAAGGGCGTGCTTGAAGTTGGTGATAAACCCAGGAGGTAATTTCTGGTCCTCTGTGTTTTTTTACAAAATAATGCTAATGGGAGATGGTATTTTGATATTTGACATGGCTGATGGTACAGACATAGATTTGTTCATATTACGAGTGTGCTATTAGTCTGCATTTTAATGTCTTTTTTTTTTCTTTTTCAGAAGGTCAAAGAAGAAGCTCAAAACACCTTCCAAGAAATAAGACGGCATGCTCTTCATATTCACCGGCCGCTCGTGTTAACAACTAACCAAGACCAACTCACTCTTTATATGGTTGTTTTTTTAGTAAAAATCATTTTGGAAGACTTTTACTTATCTAAAAGAAATGGATCGGACTGCATATATTTGAACGTGCAATCCAAATTATCATACCCACTGGCAAATGGATGCTTTCCGATGATGACACTTTTTTCATGTTTAAGGGTCCTGGGATTATGAAGGGTTAATGGATCTGTCTGAGAAGTACATTGTGTTTGATCCATGAGTGTGATGAACTTGAAGGTCCTTGCCAATGTATAGCTCCCAACTGCCGAAATATATGAATTAAGGGTTGTCGAAATATAATCCCATTTATCTTTTACAAGAAGCATTAAAACTCTGCTAACTGAAACAAATGAGAAACCCCAGTTTTGTGGACATACGCCATTGAGCATATGCAACTCTTTTTCATTAATATGTAAATTTACCGGCTACTAGGCTGGCAGCTTTCATAGTAATAGAAAATAACGGTGCAGTATACCTCTTACAACATGAGCCATTTAGTATAACCAAGTTTATCATCTTTGAATAGATGCTTCCTTGTACTTACCCAGATTAATAAAAAAAAAGTTTATTGTTGCTAGCTATGATAACAATTTACAGACATGATCTCATACTTTTACCGGAACAAGTAAATCAAAGATATAATATCACCTCACGGAACTGACCCTGAAAACACAAGATTACGAATAAATGATCCTCAGATTCCCCAAATAAAATTGAGGGTCTGATATCCATAATCTGAAAATTTACCACTAAGAGTAACTTGGCTACTTTCATGTTTGTTGACTGCTATTGATTTGATCACAAGCTAAAGTTACACTGCTTAGATGTTCAAATTTGCTAACAATTCAATTTCAAAATGCCTACCGAATAGATGTCGAGCCTTGTTCTTGTTGCTAATTGCTATCAATTTTAACAAGATAAGGGCTTACAAGACTGACCTTGAGCTAGGATTTTTTATCTTCATCGGACGGAGAGCACGGCTGTTCAGGGACAGAATCAACAAAATATTCCTCCACTGAAACAAGTTTAAGTTATCAGTGTATTGTCAAACACATTAATACACCCAGTATCTTTGAATGGGAAAATGTCAAAAACCAAAATTTTTCTAAGTGTGAAATTGATGCCATTTGTAATATGATGTGATGCAATTTGTAAACACGTTAATCCAGATATGCTTATGGAACTAAAACGGGAAGACAACCCTAAAAATACAACCTACATATTTCAAAGAAAATCTATTATTTTTTTAAAATAAATATAATTATTTGTGTAATTAATAATTAAAAGTAAAAGGGCCCCACATGGATACTATTGTCGGTGGTACATGAAAATTGAATCAAATCAAAGCTCCATATAATATAATTACACCATATCAACCCTCCATATTAGTTATACGTGCATAATTTTGAGATTTAAGGCTAAATTCAATCGTAACTGAGTGCAAGAAAGGTCGTGAAAACTCCTATTCTAGGTCGAAAGGTCGTGAAAACTCCTATTCTAGGTCAGTCAAAGCATCTCATTTAGTAACATCAGTATGCAACCTCATTACCTATATTATCTTGCTCTGAAGAATCGGGCAAAATTTCTGAATCAGAATGAAGAAAAGAAGAACCAGGGTAGTTCCCGAGAGCACCTAGATCTGTAACAATTCCAAGGGCCACACATTGTAAGTACAAACTTAATAAAGAGAAACACCAAATTGAACAATAAAAAGTAGCTAAGATGCCAGGTTCCTGGAGTGATGGTTTCCAAGGCCAATAATAAAGCAATGCACAAATTATTAAGAGCAAAATGCTGAAAAACAAATACAAAACACAAGTCCTCAGATGTGTGTGTGTGTGTGAGTGAGAGAGAGAGAGAGATCACAAACTTAAACACAAAAGTTTAACTGGATATCTCAGTGTGGGTATCATAGCCACAGCTTACCTCCTAAGTTTGACAAGTCTGCAGTGAGATCAGTGAGACTGAAATTCCACTGAATCTGATCAAGTGATCTAAAGGAATCTCTAGAATTCCCAGCTCCATTATCATGTCCAAGCTGCAATCCTACTGAACTTGCCACGTCCGTTGTGAAGGCTGAATCAAGTGCTGATGTATCTACTCCCATCCCTGACATGTCTAAAGCAGTGAAGGGAAAACTCCCACTGGAAGCCACTGATGTACAGCTCACAGACATCTCTGACATAGATGACATGGCAGTGGTTGGAGGAATTGCAGGTGTTGCATCACGGGCAGTGTTGTCCATCACCATGCTAGAATAAGGAAATCGGTTATCATTCGCATAATGGCGAAACATAATTTAGTTTTATGAAATTACAAAAATCTAAGATAATGTGATAAGGACTTAATATTTTAACATTATTTAAGAATGTGGTAGTAAAAGTTATGCATATAGCTAACCTAAAACAGTTTAGGATTAGAGTTTAACTGAATGGAGTTAGCTTATGATACTGTAATATAACCTTAACACAACCATGCCTTTGTTGCAAATCTGATCAACTATTTCCTGAACATCTCAATCAAAAAAAGACAAAAGAAAGCAGCACATAATAATAATAAAAAATCAAGAAGCAGCATAACTTGTAAGATGAGATAATGAAAATATAGAACAGCACCTTCAGAATTACCGCTAAGTAAATATTTGTATGTTTAGTAGCCAATTAATAGTGGATCGAAACAAGGATTGTTAAGTTCTCACTCATTCCCGGTACTCATCTGCATAGGTTGAAAATTGCTGGGTGCAGGGACTCCGTTGACCACATGACAGCTAGATATACCCATGGAGTCAATATGAGGTTGCCCTGTAGCTGGAATTGGAGGTTGTTGAAGCACAGGGTATCCCATTGGTAAGTTGTTAACTGCGCTGCAAAAAGTGGCATTGCATAACCACAATAGAGACCGTGTCTAAACATAATATCATGATCAGTTTACACTATAACTGAAGTAATTAAGGCAAGGTGGGTGTTCCTTTTTTTATTTAGTCAGAACTCTTACCGGGGCATGGGATGAATTCCATTTTGTATTGAGGCCAGAGGGACCTTTGGAGGCAGGGGATATTTCATCATATAATATTGATGCTCAAGAAAATGGTTAAATAAAAGGATTTGCTTCTTTAACTTTAGCCTTATATAATAGGCCCTGAAAAAATCAGCATTTTCCTCTTCCAGCTTGCGCCATACTGAATAACAAGAATAGCAAAGAGAACAGAGTGAGGTTTCCCACTCTAACACAGTTGAATAAGGAATATACTTGATTGGCGACGTAGACTTTACTAGTTCGAAGATATCACTATAGTAGACGGCTTTTCATTTTCCTTTTATGGCATGCTCTATTTTATCACTTGCATATGTGCATTCTATTGAAAATTCCGGAAAACAAACACATATTAAGACTAATGTAAGTTTTCACGAAGCATACCTAAAGTTGTGAATCCAGGGTCTATCCTCGCTCGATTCAATAGGGTTTTGACAACCTCGTCTCTATTCATGTACAGTTGTAAACATCGTTCAATTAAATTCTGGACCTGGAACAACCATTTTACATTAATTGTGAATCACTAATTAGAAAACAGATAAATAAAAATCAAAAGGAAAAGAAATAAATTAATGAAATATAAGAAAGAACAGGTTTCCTACAAGTTCTATATCTTGGCGTGAAACTTTTCGACCATCATGGCTTGAAGAGCCTGAGCCCTCTGCTGTTTGACTGCTCTGTTCCGTTTTTGGTTCATGTGAAGCTCGACTTGACGGTTTTTTATCTTGTGTGGTCTGTAATCGAATAAAATCAATCAAGTTGGTGTCAAGGAAGAAATGATAAACAGATTCATTCACCGAATAAACAGACTGAAAGTGTAAGCAGTTCTTTTCTGTGTTGATTTGGGAGCAATGACCATTTACAACTTGACAAAATGGCTATTTAGCTGACACCAAAGAGATCAATTATATATACAAATAATTACTTATTGAAAGAGAAAAACACCTTTAAATTCTTCATTCCAACAAAAAGCCACTTAATTCACGAACATCAAATGCTGGCATCTGAATGAATCATATCCTCCCTGATAAGAAGTATACAATACAAGGCCGAGAATCAAGCACTGTGAAGAGCACATATCCTGATTAAAATATTTGTTCAAAATGAAACAGGAATTCAGGAATATAGCCCCAGTGGCACTGATTGAGATTAGGATCTTTTACCAAAACAAAGAAACATCCACTTTTAGCTACTTTCAAGTTCAACTAATTTCCCCACATAAAATAAGTTTATTTATTCTTAAGTGCAACCAATCACATTGATCAAACAATCATAATGTTAGACAAGAATCAATTCCAAAAGCATCCTGCTAGTACTAACTACAGCGAAACCACAAAGCAAAGGAAACAAAAAAAGGAAGAAGAACTAATAAGATTTTCATTACATAGAAAATCTTAATAACAAATAAAAAAACATTTTGTTTCTCTCGACTCTTCTCGTGGTTTTCAAATGCAAGGTATGCCACAAGCAGAATCAATTCCACGGTTTATTAAAAAGAAGAAAAAGGATTTCAGCTTTTAATCTAACCAAACAGATCTAAGAATAATTACATGAACTAAGCAAAATTGCAAGATGCAAATTCTATCTAGCTTTAAAAAGAAGAAGAAAAGCCTTTCTGGGTATCATTTTGAAAGTCCTTCATAGCTTTTTCAAATCAGACTTCCCTTTTAGATAACTAACAGCAAGTAAAATATAGCCAATTACAGTAATAAAGCAAAATTATGGGAAAATGTCATGGCATTAAACTAAAATTAACAAGTATAAATAAGAAAGCGAACCAAGAACTCTAAACCAGAAGAACTAAAACATGAAACAAATAAAGATCTAGTTAAATTTACCTTAAAAACAAAGTTACAGACTCTTGAGAACCGATGTTTTTATTTCAACAATCCCAGAGATCCAATCATAAATTTAAGAAATACAGAAAAATAAAAATGCTTGGCAAAAAATTTACTGTATTTCAAGTTGAGACGAATAACTTGAAGTTTATTAAAAGGGAATATTCTCGACTGGAACCGAAGTGCAAAGATATTTACAGCAAAATAAAAATGGAAAATTACTTTCGAATTTGTTAAAAGAGAAGGCCGGAGCAGTAATGAAGTTTTATGGAAGATTTGGCCGTTGATTTTTAGGGTTTATCATCAGTGTTATTATCGTTGTTGTTGTCAGTTTACGATGAGAGCTAAATTGGAAAAAAAAAAAAAGAGAAATGCAGAGAAAACCAGAGGGAAGAAATGGGGGAATCTCACCCAACTTTGGCATTTTATAGTTTTGATTTTTCGAGGTACAAAATAATAATATATATAGGATTCTCTGTCATTAAAATATGATAATTTTATCAATGATAATATATAAGTTATGTAAATATTTAATCAATTAAATAATAAATCAAATCATTTATAGGATTAGTCAATTACATGTTAAATTCATAAAAGGTCAAGTTAAAAATAGATCGAGTAATACCAGCTTTTTATTATGTTAATATCGGGTTCGGATTCATATCAGTCAGATACAGGCCGTGTTCGGTTATCATATTTTCATTTAAATTCGAATTCAAGTCGTTCTCAAATCGGGTGCAGGTCGATTTCATATCCAATATTTCTAGGTCTAACTCGAGTTCAAGTCAATACCAATTCCGACTCGAGTTAGTTTCGAATCACCATTGCTCATGTCAAAATCAATTTTGATTCGAGTCAATTTCAATCAATTTTACGGATAGAGTCAGCTATTTACGTCCCTATCAATCGGTTTAGTAGTAGGAATATATACATTTTATGTCAATTTGATGGTTGATCGAGCGGGTGCGATAGCATGAGACAGAGTCTGGTCTGTCAATCTTATCGTTTCAAGCGTTGTTGATCATTTAACGACTCAAGAAGGCCAATCATATAAGGTTTTATATTAATATATTTTTAAAATTTTAAATATTATTGAAGTACAAAGGAGTCTTTGGTATAGAAAATTCAACCAGTCGGATCGAGTTAGAATTTTGGCACACTCAAATTTGATTAAAAATTTATAAACCCTTCACATATATTTGTTTTTGTCCGGGTTTAGGGAGTTCATATTATCTGAAATTCGATTTAATATTTAGATTAAAAACTCACACCCAACTTAATATATATAATTTATCTTTTATTAAATAAAATAAAGATATAATTGAAAAAATAAAACATAGAGTAGTATTATTGTAGTTATTGTTAAATATATATAAAAAAATATATAATATTATGTTGAGTCAGCTCAATTCAATTTTTTTTACAATAAACACAAACCTAGTCCATTTACATCCTAAAAAACTCTACTTGACTTGACACAAATTAAAATTTTCAAAATAAGATCAATTCAATCAACTTAAGTGCAATTGAAATCTAGGGCAAAAGGCATTCGAGGCCCCTTTACTTTTGAAAAAAAATAATGTGGCTATCGAATTATTTTTTTCACGTAACATGATTCTCTAACTTATAAAATAAATCTAATGTGGCATTTTAACGAACGTTTTATGTGGTTGACTATTATAGTGATGATATGACATTTCATAATATTGACACGACAGTTCACGATGACTATTAACGTGATATAAGACATGGCATATGAGCAAAATTGATTTTTTTTCATGTTTAAGAGTTAATTTGATTTTTTTAAAAAGTTTGACATTTATTTAAATTTAAAATATAAAAATAAAAAATAAAAATAAATTATTAAAAATTTAAAAATTATATACTTTTTTTAAAAGATTAAATATATGTCGCAAGTTATAAAATTATAAATCATAAGTTATTAAAAAATTAAAAATATTTTTTAAAATATATATTATACATAATATATGCATGTTGTCATAACCATTTTTAAGTAAAACAATTAAATATTATTTTAAAAAAACGATTATGACTTTTATATGGAAAAATTGGGTGATTTTGGATTAATTAAAATTAAATTGAAAATGAGTCGCCATCGACCTTTGGGTTAGGTAGGTCGAATACCTAAAAACGTCTTTTAAAAACAATTTTAAGAAAAATAGTTTTATAAGACAAAAATTTGATCTACGTTACCAAAGATTTATTTAAAACAGGTTCGGGAGTCGGTTACGTGTGGGGAAGGATAAACACCCCTACAACGCCCAAAATTGGTACTGTGTCGCTTACATGTCGTCGTGATTGTGGAAAGTATGAATCGAATATAAAATTAAATTATGATCCATTTATTGAATATTAATTTGCTTCAAATAATTATTAGGGAAAATTCTTTAACTTGAAAAGAAATCTCGAAATTAACAATCCTCCGTCGGGAAAGCTATTTTGACTATTTCTTAGCTGTAAAGGATATTCCCTATTCGATAAAACAAGAATGTAATATAAATTGAAAAATAAACACTTGTGTGAAATAAAATAACTTGCATCACGTTATTCGAATTAAAATATGAGATGAATTAATTAACAAAATAGAATCAATTTTATTCCAAGTTCATATTTGTTTGAATGTCGTATCGGATTGTACCACTTCGACCAAGTGATACTTTCCACGCCCGTTCTATAAATACATTCTTGAAATATTCGGATAACATTAATACTTAAGGAAATGGAAATGAATATGATTAAACAATGCACAATAAAATATTTACAACAAATAGAGTTAGGCATATTTATTTACATTTGATACAAATGACTACATAACACGAAATATGTACATACAGATTGAAATAAATACAAATGAATGTTACAACCCAAAATATAATGGTCAATAAGTAAGTATTTAATAATTACAATGACTAACATGGTAATGACAAATTAAAGGGCTAAAACAGCAAAATAGAAAATTAAAAGACTGAAATGGCAAAAACAGAAACGTAGGGACTAAAATAGTAATTAAACCGAATGCAAACTAGTGACCAAAATAAACAGATTTACAAATCTTAGAGTCAAATTTGAACATCGGCCAAAATATACAACATACAAAATCAGTGACTAAAATGAAACTAATACAAACATTGTGACCAAAGTAAAATATGAGTATAATAATATAACATGTAATAATAGGACTAAAATAAAAATACATAAACATAATGGACTAAATTAGTAAAAGCAGAAATTAACAGGGCTAAAAAATAATTACAAAATAAACAGGGCCCAAATCACAAACAACAACTAATACAAACATCAGAAATGTGAATAAGCCATAAATAATGCTTAGGACTAGATTGAAATTAAAACAGAAACATGAAGGCTGAATAATAATTAAACCAAAAAGTAAAACAAGGACTAAAATAAAAGATTTATAAATGTGGTGGCCAGATTCGAATATCAAAGAAACATACATGAAATATTAAATCAGTGGCTAAGATGTAACATTTAAAAATATTGAACCCAGAACCAAATATAAACAAAAAATGATATAACCTAGGATAGTGACTAAAATATAAAAGTGAAAAGATAAAGGCTCAAATTGAAATAATGTAAACTTCATTCCATGGCTAAATAACACGGTTACAAAGCATCAGGGACCAAAAGAGTAGTTACCCCTTAATATGAAAACACGGAAACCCCTTTGGCTTAAACGACGCCGTTCTGGTCCGCGCATAAATGACCAAAATCAGGCCAAAATTCAGTCTATGCCTCATTTCTTTCATTGCTTAAAAACAGAGAGAGTGAGAGAGAGAAAACTCTCTCAACCTTCTCAACGGAGAAGAGATTCGTCCACCGCCGGCTACGCCCGCGGCGGTGCTCGCGGCGGCGAACGGTGGCCGGAGATGGAGAAAACCCTCCAAAACCTTCCTCTCTTCACTCTCCACCTAGATCTCCAACTATCTCGACCTAAAGGTAACCCTAGCTCTCTAAATCTGAGAGTTTTACCTTCGAAAGTTTTGACAACCGACGACTGTCGGGCTTCTCGACCTCCAAACCGTGGTGAGATCCTCTCCTCTTCTCTCTTTTTTTCTTTTTTATGCTTTTATTTTTTTTTCATTGGATTCTGTAAAACCCGAATGGTCTCTCTCTTTTTTTTGTTCTCACCGCCCCCCAAAAAAAATGAACCCCCTGTCATTGCATGTCTCTTTCTTATGGTCTTTGGCTGAGAATCCATCTCCATTTGATATGAATGATGTTCCTAGGCTCGGGTTAGTACCAAAAGCCGAATATTTAGGGATTTAGGACTATTTTAATGGGTTTTCAGATTTGGTGAGATTGAACTGTAGATGATATATATATATATTTTTTGATTGGTTTTGCTGTTCTTCACTGTTGATAGATTGATGGAGGGACCTTCGGTCACTGTGGATGCAGGCAGCCGGCGTCAGAGGCTATCGGCGAGGGGACGCTCGGCTTGAGCGGCGGCTAGAGATGAGAAGTTGAAGGCGGTGGCTGAGCATTTAGGGAATTAGGGTTGAAACCCTAACTATCTCCTGATCTGGACCATTGATTGAGGTCCAGATCCATCGGCTGGTGAGAGGGACGGCTGAGCTGATGATATTTTAGGGTTTCAAACCCTAAGCTCTGCGTGATCTGGACCGTTGGATGGGTCCAGATCCAATGGCCAGAAATGAGGCGGCTGGAACATTGAGATGAAACCCTAGCTGGGTTGTCAAGTGGGCCGGGTTAAGCCTAGGTTGGGCCTTGTTGTATTGGGCTTTGGCCTGCAAAAATATGTAAAATGTAATATTAATAATATAATAATAATAAATAATAATAATAATAATAATAAATAATAAATATATATATAAATAATAATAAAAAAGACCCGGACAAAAACGGGTGTCTACAGCTGCCCCTCTTTGCACATTCTTGTGTTAACAAGAATAGGGCAAAGATGACAAGACATCACGTTTTTGTCTGGTTCTCTCCCTTTTAAACTTAGAAATTGGATAATGTTGGTTGTTGGGGACGACACTGCTCATACATGATGAAGAGTTCTGGTCGTCTAAGGGTGACA